GGCTTGGCGTTGGCCTAACTCACCTGGCCTATGCCTTGCCATATCGAACGCTGCCCAGCAAGTCATTTCGCCCAAAACATGTAGGCTGAATCATACTAACGGTATTTATTTAACACGACTAAATACTACGCTTGTTGTAGCGGGAGGTGCAAAGTTTAAACAAAAACTGAAAATAACGCTTAGGTATAAACAATGGAAGAGGAATGCAGGAGGCAAAAACGGGGAGGTAACTGAAAATAGCAAAAGCCGATAAGACCGACTTTGAAACACCTTAATATACAGAAATATGAAGGTATATAGAGGTAGAGATTAGATTGGGTAAAGAGAAATGAGACAGTGAAATATAGATAAATATACTCGTAGATCAAAGATATAGATAGATAGATCTCCATTGATATAGATATAGATAAAGATATTGTTGCTATTGATATTATAGTTTTATGTATAGATATTATATTATTATAACTCTATAGAGCTTTGTTCATATATTATTATTTTACTTATACATATGCAAATCGTACTATTGCTATATAATGCTTAAAGTAATTGATATATCCCTCGGAAAAGAGTATATTTGAATAAGGCACGCTCGCATTTTTCAATTGTTTTACGATACTAAACACAATAATTGTTGTTTATCAGCAACAATGACTGACGAAACGTTATGCTGCCAGTAGTAAAAGCGACTACGTGCGTGTGTGTGTGTGTTTGTGGGTGTGTGTGTGTGTGCGGCGCCTATTCACCTTGACATGTCATAGCGATGGGCTTATTAAATCCATTAACACAACATAACAATAACAATAACAAATAAGTAGCTAATAGCAAACACGCAAATTATAACAATTATTTATATTTGTTATTAAAAATACAAGAACAACAACAGCAATGCAAAACGAAAGTGAATTTCAAGCATTGCAAAAAGGGTAAACGCCGCAGTTAATCCAGCGAGTGCGAGCGAAACAAACACAATGTAAATGTAAATGTTATGAGCAATGCTTAAGCGCTTATGTATGTACAGTTCAGTCAAAGTTGAAATGCTCGTGCCAGAGTGAGAGCAACAGATCGTGTGGGAGTGCAGTGCAAGCATGCATGCGTGTGATTGTGTGTGTGTGTGTGGGAGTTTGAGAGAGAGGGAGAGAGAGAGAGAGCTCTGCTGCGGCTGCTGCCATTTGTTTTATGCAAAGTTAAATGCTGACTAAATGCTGGCAATTAAATGTTAATGTCGCGCGCTTCTGTTACTTTTATAATTATATACGTATGCATGTGCTCTTTCTCTCATTGTGTATATGTATGTGTGGATTGTTTACTGTTATTGTTGCCTGCTCATTATCACTTTCGGTCTCATTGAATGCCGCCGCCGCCACAATTGAAAAACGAAATGGAAACCGTTTCTCAGCTGTTCGCATAAACAAAAAAAAAAAATAATAATAAATAAATAAATACGAAAAATAAAATGCAAGAGCAACAACAAAAATTGCAATATGCTGTTTCTGTTACTGCTTTTAATGTTTATTTAACACGCATTGCCACACGCGCTGTGTCCGTTACTATTGTTGTTGTTGTTGTTGTTGCTGCTGCTGCTACTGTTGCTGTTCTCATTGTTGCTGCTGCTGTTGTTGTTGTTGTTGTTGTTGTGGAGGCGTGCGTCTTGCACAGTGCTGCGTGCGCTGCTTAAAGTGTTGCGACTGCCGCTTAACTAATTGCTTAACATTTCTAGCCATTGTGCACCACGGTGCCACTGCACACACACTTACCTGTATTTCAAGTTCATTATAAATAAAACGTCAATATTATTAAATTTATACAAACAGTCGGCTGCTGTTGTTGTAGTTGTTGCACGTGTATTTCGCTGTCTGCTTTTTTCATTCCCGATATGTGTGGGTGAGTGCGTGATTGTGCGAGTGTATGTGTGTGTGTGTGTGTGTGTATGTGTATGCGTTAAAGCGCGCGTGTCGCATGCGTGTGCATGTGTGTGTGTGTGTGTGTGTGGGCCGAGTGTATTGAACTCTTGCTGCATTTTTGCACAATATCTTTTTTTACTCATATGCATGTGTCTGCATACATACATATGTACATGCATAGGTGAGTGTGTGTATGTATTTATTACAAATATGTATGTATGTTCGACTTTTCTGCTGGCTGCTGCTTCTTTTGTTTTTGCAATTGTGTTTCTCTTGTTTTCTTAGTGTTTTGTTTTGTTTTCTTATTTTGTTTATTATATTTCTTACCCCGTCTTAATCAGTTCTTGTCGCCACAGTCGCTGCAATTTATCGGTCATCTTGCAATCAATGGCCAAACGCCGATGCTCTTCCAGCACTCTATCGATACATGCAGCTATTTGAAGCTGTGCAAAAGAGATAGATAGCTTGCATTAGAGATGGGTCAGCTCAGCAAGAAGATTTGCAAGAGGTGTAACAAAAATAGTTACTTCAAATTCTTATTTTAAAGTTTACAAATTAATATTGAATTAGAATATATTTTAAACAAGAAATGAACATATTTAATTTTGTTTTTGTAATCATATATTTATATTCTTATCTAACATTTTTCGAATGTTGTTAATTTTCTTTTTGGGTACAAATTAATTATTTAAAGTGAGAATCGCCTTTTAATTCATTTGCATTTCTTGGCAGCTGACACTCATCTTCACCCTATATCTCTCCGTGTGTGTGTGTGTATAGGGATGTCTGTATGTGTTTGCTGCACACCTTTTCGAGGCGGTCAACTGTGACGACAAAAAGTCAGCTCAAAACGTCTTTTACTTCCGTTTTTGATGAGTTTTTGTTTTTTGTTTTTTTTTTTCAAGTTTGAGGTGAAGGTTGAGGGAATCGCATTGTGGCCAACGGGCAGCAGGCACAGGGTCGGGGTCGGGGTCGTAGTCGGAGAATGGGCAGAAGGGTAGGAAGCAGGGTGGGTCAGAGTGCATTCGTTTTATGATTGATCACGCACGTGTGTGCGATGGAGCTGTTAAAACCAACGATGGCATTATCGATAGTATCGAGGATTGAAACCATCAATGGGAGTAGCCATTGTGTGGAGCATTCGAGCGAAATGGGTTTACTTTATAGCATATCAGATGTACAACTAAATATATGTATATGTGTATATGTATAAGTATATGACTGACTGATTGATGAGCTTCAGATAGACTAAGATGTTATACAAATATACTATATAATTTAATTAAAGATGAAGCGAAGATGTTATATGTATTTACAAAAAAAAAAAAAAAAAAAAAAAACATATAATTACAAGTGAATAAGAGTAAAAATAAGCAGCTAATCCAAGAACTTGAGTAACTGTATAAGAATATACGAGTTTTGTGTTGGTCTAATGCTTCATGATAGATTTCTTATTAGAGGTATGAAATTAAAGGATTAAAATTAACGAAACCTGCCATGTCTAATCGGCTTCATTCTATTTATTATCAACCAAATTGTTCGAAACTAAATTGTATTGTTTAATTAATAATATATTAAAAACCTGTCTGTTGCTTTAAGGGAGCTTTGACTGTATATAGATACATAACAGTGAAGTAGCCAATGGCAACAAGATTTACTGAATTTCCAAATACACACGTTATATACACCACACATATAACAGCAGCAAATATCTGCTATATGTGTGTGCCTGTGTATGTGTGTATATACTCCAGAAGGAGATACACTGTACCAAGTTCTACATATAAAGCGCACATTACACATTTACATAAGCGTACAAATACACAGACACAGTCACTTACAAGCAGAGCACGTCAGCTCCTGGTGGCTGGGCAGTACACATGCATATATGTATAATAAGCGCGTATATATGTGAATGCTTACATGTTTGTTATATAGTGCGCACTCGCTCTAGCACACACGCACCCACAGCGCACGCAAACAGCATGCGTGCACACACACACTAATAAACCAAGTGTAATCCTATTTGCGTCCAAAAATAAAATGGAACGAAAGAAAAATCCAACAAAGAAGCAGCAAAGCTGCTGCTGCTGACGCCGCTGCCGCCACTGCTGCTGCTGCTGCTGCTGCTAGTCATGTTGTTGCTGCTGCTTCTGCTTCCTTTGCGCTAAAGATTTAGCTGCTCGTTAAATCGACGCGTCGACGACGACGACGACAGCGCCGTCAGCGCCAGCTGAGCCACTCTGCAGTTTTATCTAACCAATACCAATGCCAGTTCATCCACCAACACACAGCAACAGCAGCCACAGCCACAGTCTCAGCCGCAGCCCGCAGCGAGCACAGCTCTCACACTCACACACACACATGCACGCAACTCTGAACAGAGGCAGAGGCAGCCATTGCGTTCTCTCTCACTGCCTTCGTCGCATTGCTCAGATGTCGGAGTCAGCTGCTGCTGCGTTGCTGCCGCTGTCGCTGCCGCTGCCAGTATCGCTGCTCTGACGCTGGCTCTTGGCGCTGCTCTGCGCTTTTATAAATACAATTTTATGATGCGTTCAAATACAATTCAGAAGTCGAACCGAAAAGACGTCTTGAATTTGTTATTTAATTTGATATACACATACATACATTTTTTTTTCTGTTACTGCTTCTTCATACACTTCTTCGAGTAACTCGTCTGCATTCTTCTCAGTGCAGACACACACACACAGAGACAGACAGAGAGCGAGAGCGAGCGAGAGAGAGCAGTACAGACACGCACAGACATTAGATAAAGCTGCCAGCGAGGCTCTGCTGAACGGTTGCGCCGCGTCTGTGGTCAGAACTCGTGCGCGCGTCAACGTGAAAGCATCTGCCGGCGCGCTGCGACAACATAACGGGATATAGCAAAGCAGTAACTAATAAATAAAAGCAGTGATACAAAACGACAAAAATAAGAAGCAAAACATTTCATTCAATTAAATTATATTATTTTATTTTATTTTACTTTTTTTTTTTAACTAAAAATAAACCAAAGAAACGTGCTACAAATGAATTATTTTTAATTATAATTATTGAGTGCAACGAAAAAAAGGAATTCAAAATAAATAATTAAAAACAAATAAGCAAACGTGAAACCTAGTGAAAAACTTAAACCAAAAACAAACGAAAAACTAACAAGCAAACAGAAAACAGATTATGAATAAAAAATAAACAAATTTCGAATGCCGCCGCCAAATTGTTCAAAAAACCAAAACAAAACAAAGGTAACAAATTGTTAACTACAAAAATAAAAAAAATAAAAAAAAAAATTGCTGAAATTTTGTAAACACATTTTTTTTCTTGTGGCAATTTTCAAATGTGAAAAGTGTGAAAAGTATTTATCCTGGATTACAAACTATATACATATATATAACATATACCTTGGATTATAGACAACTTATTTTTACATTGACTTATCTTCATTCTTATTCGTTATTTTAAAATTATTATTATTATTTTTTTTTTACTATGTATATTTTTTTTATATATTTTATTTTTTTACTTAATTTGTCTGATAGTTTGATAGAGGTCCCATCTAATTGAAGCTATTAAAAATTTGAACTAAACTCAAATATCTTCATTAATTTTTTACTTTATAAAATATTTCAAAAATCTGTTGAGAACTTCATTAAAAAACTTTGAAGACTATAAGGTCAAAATTATTTAAAATATTGAAATAATCGAAATATCTCTAGAGTCGCGCCTAAACTCTATATGAAATAATGTTCTTTATTTCATAATATTACAACCTACTCTTCAAAATATATGCACAACTTGTACACTTTCAGCTTGAACTAAACCAAAATGTAGTCTTTCCATAACACAATGCATTTACCATCGATAATTATCGATTTCGTAATCAAGTCTCCAAAATATAAGCTAATTATCTTTTCCTCTAAGTTTATTTAATCTGCTAAATGATAGTTAGTCGCCTCTTAGTCAACATATATCTTTATATCGAGCAAGTCTCCAAAATCTACACACAAATCTCTCCACTTTCCAATAAAACTCGTCTTTAAAGTCTCCGACTTAATATAAATATTTGTAGAGATTTCATCAATATCCACTTCCTGCTAAAGTCTCCAAAGTGTACACAAATCTCTACATATCTAACTGTAATAAGTGTTCGATTAGTGAAGTCTCCATGTAATTAAAATTTCACCAATTCATTCACTTTGCCTGTTAAGTCTCCAAAAAATATGAAATTATTTCTTCACCTCCAAATGTCGGAGAGAGCTACAAACGGCACACACAGAGAAAGAGAGAGAGAGATGAATTGGCAGGGGGAGGGGGCGGTTAGGGGCGTGCCTTTATCTCTAATGATTTAGCATGCCGCTGAGTCACGAGCGAAATCGAATTCGAAATCAACCAACCAAAATCGAAGACCAAAGCCTACAAAAAATAAACAACAATAACAGAAGCAACAACAACAACAACAACAGCAACAAAATAAACAACAAAACGTTATCGCTTCAAAGTTTTCTTTCAAAAAATGGTCAAATTGTTGTTAGTGTTGTTGTTGTTGTAGTTGTTGCTGCTGCTGCTGTTGAATCGTTGCTCGTCGCCAATCGGAAATCCTAAGCATGGGCAGCAAAGCCAATTGATAACGGTAAATGTTAATGGGGAAATATGAACAGCGAATGGAAATGCAACAAATACAAAGCGCAAAGCGCACGAGCCGATAACAAATCAATACACAGCATGAGCGAGACAGACAAAGAGAGAGAGAGAGAGAGAGTGAGTGGGAGCGAGAGAGAGCGCGTGCATATTAGAGATGAGAGCCGGCCTCTCCCACTCCCCCACTCTACTCCTGCTCCGATTGGAGTTTCTGGCGAAATGCATCCGTTCACACTTGGCAGCTGCAAGCAGCAAAGAAAACAAAGCTGAAAACTGTTTTGCCAGCGTCTCAATTAACCAATTTGCCGTAGCTTCACTTCTGCCCTCACCCCACCCCCCTCCAGGCATCGTTTAATCAGCTGTTTAGCTGAAATCGAGACACAATCTGTGCCCAGATTTCCTATTGAACTGAACGGGTAATCCAATCGGTATACAAGGCATTTAAGTCTAACTCGTTTTTCCAACTAGCATGCATTGCAGAATGCCACGAATCCAATAAGACTTTGAGCAATGCCTAAGCACACTTTCCAGCGAAGTTCCTCGAGAAAATTCAAATGAAGAAAGCATCGGGGTAGACTTGGCGTTAAGCTGAATGTATTAAATGAGACCTGGATTTGTTTCCTAAAACAAGATAGCTCTGATAACTGTAATTATATCGATATTTATCGTCATGTTAGGGTGCGTGTCAGATTCCTACCTTAGCATGGCTAATGTCTCATTTATGTTAGAGTCAAACTTAAACTTACTGCTAAAGCTCATGGTAAAGCTCATGGTAAAGCCCATGGTAAAGCATTGATTGAGCTTGCCTAAATCTGCCTCATGTTTGATTAAAAACTCGGCTCTTTTGTGATGCATGCTAAATCTAAACTCCATATTAAGCAACTTGACTAAGCTAATGTTAACGGTTTATCCTTATTGTGTTAAGATTCTACTAGATTAGGACTCGTGTCAATGCGTGCTAGCTTAAGGAAAAGGCATAAGGAATACGTTAAGAGGAGTTTTACATGACAATTTGGCTATAGTTACATCTGAATGAAGCGAAGTAACTCTAGTCAAATTGTCATGTCAAACCTCCTGTTAACGTAATAAGCATAGGAAGTAAAGAGAAGGCAAGAGAAGAGAAGGCAGCGAAGTAAGCACGACATTTGTATAGTCTATATATTAGTTGATTTATTTTACCTATAGAAACTTCTAATAAACATCATGGCAAGGCTCATGTGAATGCTTTGATTTGCTCAGCTCTTATATAGCATAAGCCCAGCTTGAGACTCATGTGAATGTTATATTTGAGTCTGGGGCGCATCTAAGTGTCAAGGCTAATGCTGATTGACCTTTTTGATTCTGTTTCTCCTTGCAGCAGCTAATCACAGCAGACAAGCAGCAGCCGTTTACGATCTCAATTAGCCAACTTTTGCAGCGACAGCAGCAGCAAAAATGCTGGCCACACAGCAGCAACAGCAGCAGCAGCCACCACAGCAACATGCAACAGCAACAGCAGCAGCAGCAGCAACAGCATTGACGCTTGAGGATGCGGTCATGGAGCGACAGCGTCGTGACTCCAGCACCTCAGAGTCGTCGCTGGAGCATCTGGATCTGGGCCGCACGCCAAAGAAGCTGAGCAGCAACAGCGGCGCGCTGCAGCCGACGTCGACGCCAAACGTTGAGGCGTCTTCGCGGAAGCGCAAGATGCGACAACAGCAACAGCAGCAACAGCAGCAAACATTCGTGTACTCAGATGAGGAGGACGAACAGCAGCAGCAGCAGCAACAGCAGCAGCAGCAGCAGCAACAGTTGCTGGAGCAGTCGGTGCATCGCATTCGCCACAAGCAGCGCCGCAGCGGCAATGCAGCCGCGGCCGCTGCCAGCGCCAGCATCGTCGTCGACTACAGCGTCGGCAGCGACGCCAGCTCGCTGCGCAAAAAGTTTCGCCTGAATCGCAGCAGCATCAGCGCCCACAACGGCGACCTGTCCGAGTCGGGCTTCGTCGATGGCAGCGCGCACAGCGGCTATTTGCTCAGCGCCAGCGCCGCAGCGCAGTCGGCAACGGCCGCGCAGCAGCAGCAGCAGCAGCAGCAACAGCAGCAGCAGCCGGGCTCGGGCAGCAGCTCGGGCGGCTCCTCGCCGCAGGGCCTGTGCCATTCGAGCGCCGAGTCCGGCATCAGCGCCGGCGACGAGCACATGAAATATGTCTGCCCCATCTGCGAGGTCGTCTCGGCCACGCCCCACGAGTTCACCAATCACATTCGATGCCACAACTATGCCAACGGCGACACCGAGAACTTCACCTGCCGCATCTGCTCCAAGGTAAGTCTAGTTTACAGGGCATTCAGCTAACTATGGGTATATATGCTATGAGTCGTAGAGAACAGAGAGCAGTACAGGGTATTTTATTGTCTATTACTGCTTGAAAGTCACTTACAGGGTATCAGATAAAGTGCAGGGAATTTAATTTTACAAAATATAAAGTTAAATTAGCTAAATATACAAAAATATGCAAATACAGGGTATCTGAACTACTACAAAAATAAACTGTAATGTCAATTACACGCTGAAACATATTAAGGGGTATATAAAATATTATGAAGTTATTGCAAACTACATTCTGCATTTTTGGTCATTACAGGGTATCTGAGAACTGTAAATAAGCTGTAATGTTTATTTAGACAATTAGAGGGTATATAAATAAATATAAATCATGTGCAATCTAAAGCTGTTATTAGCAAATTACAGGTATACCGTATTACAGGGTATCTATAAATTGTCAATAATTTAATTATGTGAGTCTTTAGCCAATTAGAGGGCATACTTCACTACAGGGTATACTTATGGCATAAATTAGCTAGACAATTAAAAGGTTTTCAAGAACTATAAGCTATAAACTGTAAAAATTAGATAATTACAGGGTATACCGCATTACAGGGTAACTGAAAATTAACAGCTAAATATAGACTGTTTGAGCTACTATAAACTCTATGCAAGTTATATTGGTGTTTATTGACTAATTAGAGAATGCTGCATATTATAGGGTATTTACGAGTCGTATATTGCTTATGGGGTATATACATAAGTAACAATAAACTACACGCAAACTATATACGACTTGTTGCAAGTCAATTACAGGGTATGCCAAATTTGTGCAAAGTTGTGCATGCGTTTCGGCATTACAGGGTATTTTGAGAGTCGACTAAGCTAGCTTCAATCCCCAATCAAATTCATTTTGCTTGGGCTTTATGTAATTTTTCTCTTGATTAACGCTTTCAACCCTTGTTCTCTCCCTTCCTCTTCCACTCTCTCTCTCTCTCTCTCTCTCTCTCTCTCTCTCTCTCTCTCCTTCTCTCTTCCGCTCTGTTATAGGTACTCTCGTCAGCCTCCTCGCTGGACAGACACGTCCTGGTGCACACCGGGGAGCGGCCCTTCAACTGTCGCTATTGCCACTTGACCTTCACGACAAATGGCAACATGCATCGCCACATGCGAACACACAAGCAACATCAGCAACAGCAGCAGCAGCAGCAGCAGCAGCAACAGCAGCAGCAGCAGCCACAGCAACAGCAGCAGCAGCAACAGCAGCCACAGCAACAGCAGCAGCAACAGTTGCAGCGACATAAGCAACATTCGGCAGCTAATCAGCGTGCCGAGAGCTATGAAAGCGATGCCAGTTGCTCCACGGATATATCCAGCAGCAGCAGCAGTGCAGCCAGCAACAACAACAACAACAACAGTAGCCAAGCGAACAACAACAACAACAACAATGAGGAGCAGCGACTGAAGCTAAAGACAAACATCAACAACAACAACATCATAGTCAGCGACGAGCGAGCGCTGGACACAGACGCCGATGGCGAGGGGGAGAGGGATGGCAATGGGGACGGGGATGGGGATGGAGAGGAGGCCGGCGATGGGGAGAGCGTGGATGTGACACAGATGATAACGAGCACACCGGACGTGGCCACATTGCTGGCGACGTCGTCGGGCAACAGCAGCCCGAGGACGCTGGAGCCCGAGCTGGAGGCGCTGCCCAGCTGCCCCGCCTGCAATGCCGGCGAGTTTCAGACGCTGGCCGCGCTGTACGCCCACTTGGAGGCGGAGCACGCCGATATACCCGCCAAGTGTCGCGAGTGCGAGGTGATCTTTGCCACGCAGCGGCAGCTGCAGGCGCACAGCTGTCGGGGATTGCAGTTGCCGCCGCTGCTGGGCGCCAGCTCGTCGCCGCTGCACAAGCAGGAGCCGGCTGAGGAGGAGGAGGAGTATGATGAAGAGCAGCAGCAGATGCGCCTGCAGCAGCAGCAGCAGCGCGACGCTGAGCCGACGGCTGAGGAGGAGGAGGAGGAGATGCGGCTGCAGGCGAACAGCGAGCGGGACGAGTTCTTTCAGCAGCTCTACCTCAAGGGCAAGTCGAGCGGCTCCTCGCTGCCGTCGCCCATCAAGCACGAGCCATCGGAGCAGCGCCAGGACCTGGCCGACATACAGAGCATCCTGCACATGACCAGCTCCAGCTGCACGTCCAGTTTCCTGCGCAACTTCGAGCAGAACGTCAACACGCCCTGCTCCAGCCAGTACAGCCTGGATGGGCGCGACGGCGAGGAGGAGGCCCAGGACGCCTTCACCAGCGAGTTCCGGCGCATGAAGCTGCGCGGCGAGTTCCCCTGCAAGCTCTGCTCCGCCGTCTTTCCCAATCTGCGCGCCCTCAAGGGCCACAATCGCGTCCACCTGGCAGCCGTCGGCGCCGCCGGCCCCTTCCGCTGCAACATGTGCCCCTACGCCGTCTGCGACAAGGCGGCTCTGGTGCGGCACATGCGCACCCACAACGGCGACCGGCCGTACGAGTGCGCCGTCTGCAACTACGCCTTCACCACGAAGGCCAACTGCGAGCGCCACCTGCGCAATCGGCACGGCAAGACGAGCCGCGAGGAGGTGAAGCGCGCGATCGTCTATCACCCGGCCGAGGATGCCAGCTGCGAGGACATCAAGCCCAAGATGGATCCCGATCTGTCGGAGCTCAGCTTTCGCTCGCTCAGCCCGTCGCCCTCGACGACCAATGTGGAGGCGAGCTCCCAGCTGAAGCACATGTTGCTGGCAGAGCAGCCCAGCAAGCAGCAGCACCAGCAGCAGCAACAGCAGCAACAGCAGCAACAGCAGCAGCAGCAGCAGCAACCGTCGCAGCCTCCGTTGAAGATTCAAGTGAAGAGCTTGGATCAGCTGGTGGAGAAGCCGCTGGCACCTGCCATGGATCTCAGCATGGATGTGCTGGATCTCAGCAAGAAGCCGCAACGCGAACATGACCTACTCGTGCAGCAGCAACAGCAGCAGCAGCAACAGCAGCAGCAGCAGCAGCAACAACAGTTGCTCTTCAATCCGGGCGATGCAGCGACGCAGTATATGCAGCTGCTGCGCAACCTGATGCTGCAGCAGTCGTCCGGCTTTCCGTTCTTTGGGCTGATGGCGCCACCGCCGGCGGCTGCGCTGGAGAAGTCAGCGCCAGCGATTGCAGTGCCAGCGACGCCGGCAACAGTTGCTGCCGTGCCGCAGCCTTTGGGCCTGCCCCTGCCCGGCATGGGCGTGCCGGTGCCAGCGGCCGGGCCCGTCAAGATGGTGATCAAGAACGGCGTGCTGATGCCCAAGCAGAAGCAGCGCCGCTACCGCACCGAGCGCCCCTTCGCCTGCGAGCACTGCTCGGCCAGGTTCACGCTGCGCTCCAACATGGAGCGCCACGTCAAGCAGCAGCATCCGCAGTTCTATGCGCAGCGACAGCGCAGCGGGCACCACGTGATGCGCGGCCGGGCGGCCAACTCGGGTGCGGCACAGGCAGCAGCAGCCGCGGCAGCAGCGGCGGCGGCAGCAGCAGCAGCCGCAGCAGCCATGACCAATCTGCACCAGCAGCAGCAGCAGCAACAGCAGCAGCAGCAGCAGCAGCATCCGCCCATATCGGAGCAGGTGAAGTACGCGATCTTGGCGCAGCAG